CCCCCCCCCCCCCCCCATCTTTTATTAACAGGATCCTTTGCTGGTATTCACCTTTGTAAACATTTCTCAAGTTGTAAACTTAATGGTTTGTGAGATCCTCCATTTCAGATATTCTGATCTTATTTGGGTTGGAGACTCTGCCATCAGTATTCAAATCTCCCTAGGTGTTTTCTTTTTTTTTTTTTTTTCCTTTTTTTGTCCTTTTCGTATCCGATAACGGACCGCAACCCTCAGTGTCGCGCCCGTACCGGACTGGGACCGGCAACGGTGATCGCAACCCTCGGTGTTGCGTCCGCACCTCGCTCAGCCAGTGAGCGGGAACCGGTCTGTATGTGGGATCCGAACCCTAGGCGGGAGCGCCACTGCACTCCCAAGCAGCACACTGTAGCAGTGCGCCACCGGGCCAGCCCTCCCTAGGTGATTTCTAATGTGCAGCTATATCAGATTCACCTAGTAGGTTTGTTGTAACACTGATTGCTGTGCCTCACCCTAGGGTTTCTGCTTTCATATATCTGAAGCACAACCCAGGAATTTGCATTCTAACAATTTGCCAGATAGTGTTGCTGGTCCAGGAACCACACTTTGAGAAACGTTGTTTTTGGAGAGTCAGACTTTATAAATTATTAGAGAGAATAGTCTCCGTTATTAGAGGGAATAGTCTAATTTTAATCAATAGCAGAGGTCTCAGAAAGTCTGACGAACAGCTTCTCTTGGAATTCTAGGACCGAATCATTGATGCTGGTCCCAAAGGAAACTATGCTCGGTTCATGAATCATTGCTGCCAGCCCAACTGTGAAACACAGAAGTGGTCTGTGAATGGAGATACCCGTGTTGGCCTTTTTGCCCTGAGTGACATTAAAGCAGGTAAGAATCATTTGAGGATTCTGGAGCTATGACTTTTAGGTTTTATCATCTAAAAATCCCATATGTCCTGTACTTCAAAATGAAGTTTCCAAACTCTTAAGGACACATAAGGTCTTTCTAGGTGGTACTTGGGCATGAAATATTTATTTATTTATTTATTTATTTTGCTGTGGTATAATAGACATAACCTGAAATTTACTTTAACTTTTTATGTGTATAGTTCTTTGGTATAAAGTTCATTCACATTGTTATGTAACCATTGCCACCATCCATTTTGTCGTCTCCCCCAGCTGAAACTCTGTACCTATTAAACACCAGCTCCCTATTCTACATTCTCCTCCCTTCTCCCCCCCAGCCCCCGGCAACCACCATTCTACTTTCTGTCTCTGAATTTAACTATTCTAGGAACCTCATATAAATGGAATCATACAATATTTCTCTTTTTGTGACTGGCCAATTTATCTTAGCATAAAGTCTTCATGATTGGGTGTGGATGTTTTTAAGGGACTAAATTCCCAGACCTTCAACTTTTATTTGAACTGCACACAAATTTGTCTGCTTTAAAAACTGCCAGCTCTCTGGATTTCCTTTCTCACCTTTCCTTTTACAATTGCCCTTCTTCTGCTATATAAACCAAAGATTCAACCCTTACCCAAACAGATCTTATGGGTTATGGACCCAAGGCTATTTTTAAAAACAAATAAAAAGCCCCTCACCTCTGGGGTGCCAAAGAAGTAGACATTTGAAGAATGCACACCTGTGTCATGGCCTGCCTAGGTGTTGTGTTTCTAAGAATTAGAATGTGGAAGTGAGATAATTGTATTAAGATGCTTATTTGAATTGAAAGTAAATCTGATATGGCTGAGTGGTTTCATAGTGACATTATATTATGGATATTTTTACAGATTAAAGGAGCTTTATCTGTAGCTTCAAGATTTTGATCAAACTATTTTAAGTATATATACCTATGCATATAACACCGTCCAAATTGCATGATTTTTTAAATATTTAAACTTGTGTAAAGTTTGTGAATTTTGAAATATACAAGAAAGTGCATGATTTTTCAAAATGAGTTTTGCAGGGAAATGAGCAAAACATTTTGAAGATCATCCTCCTATATTGTAGGGACTGTTACAGCGGTTAGTTACCTGTGGTCAACCGTGGTCCGAAAATATTAAATGGAAAATTCCAGAAATAAACAATTCATAGATTTTATGTTGTGTGCCATTCTGATTAGCTTGATGAAATCTTGCATCATCCTTCTCCATCCCACCTGTGAATCATCCCTTTGCCCAGTGTATCCACACTGTATACCCTAACCACCCATTAGTCACTTAGTAGCCATCTTGGCTATCTACTGTCGCCATATCTCAGTGCTTGTGTTCAGGTAACCCTTATTTTACTTTCATTACATTATATTGTTATAATTGTTCTATTTTATTATTTATGGTTGTTTATCTCCTACTGTGCCTAATTTATAATTAAACTTTATCGTAGGTATGTATGTATAGGAAAAAGTATAGTATATATAGCGTTCAGTACTATCCACAGTCACAGGCATCCACTGGGGTCTTGGAACATATCCCTATGGATAAGAAGAAGCTAATCTACTCAAACTGAGATAGGGGATGGCTGGTTAGTCCAGTTGGTTAGAGCGTGATGTTGATAACACCAAGGTCCAGTGTTCGATTCCTGTACTGGGCAGGCAACACCACCACCACAAAACAAAACTGAGATAGGACTGCCCTAGCTAGTTTGTAATTGACAATAATATAGTCCAATTATTTTTTAAACAGAAATCCCATTTGAGCATTCTGGGAGAAGACTTAAGTTCTCTTTTGCCCAGTCAGTGTTACTGATCTCAGGAAGCATTAATTAAGATAAAATAATTAAAAAGCAGTTTGGTCAGCTCTTGATTTGTTTTTCATTTTTTTTTTGTTTGTTTGTTTTGTTTTGTTTTGTTTTTTATTTAATGTGTGGGGAAAAAATTTTAAATATAATATAATCTGTGGAACTCCTTCCCCTCCTCCCCCACCCCAGTGTATTTTTTCTGTACAACTTAAATATGCTGCCCAGGAATCTTTTAAATGCTGACTTGTATCAAGCTTTTGGAATGGATGGCTTCAGAGTAAATTGTATAGATTTCTGCTTTGTAACAGGAATAATTAAGTAAGTGATACTAGGTTCCAGACACTGTTCTAAGCATATTACCTCATTTAATCCTTGCAAAAGTGCTGTAAAGTACGTGGTTATTATACTTATGTTACTTGGGTCTGACACCTCTCATTCTTCTCTCCCTTTTCTCTCTCACCACCCCAAGGGTGGAGGGGTTCCTCTTTACTGATTACTCAAATGTTATTCAATCATATGACTTCAGTTCTAATATGTCTTTTACCACCTTTCAGTACCATACTTCTGCTGAGAGCCTTCAATCTATGTCCATAGGGATGGCCTCCTCTACCATGTCTAGCCACAGATTTCTCTTCTCTCTTCTCCCCTGTTTACTTATCTCAGTAGGTTGGTGCCGAAATTCACAGACCTTGTTCCTGTCCTTACTTGGCTTCCAGTCTGCTTTGGTGGGATGGGGAAAATGAGATAGAATGTACTAAGTACCAGGCTGAGTATCTGTTTGAGCTGAGACCTGAGTACATGGAGTCAGGACTTTTCATCCAGCTTCCTGGGCTCTTCACGTACCTGTCACTATCTCCCACGTGTGCCATCCTCATTCCTCTATTTATCTCTTCTCTGATGCTCTTTTCCATCCCAATAATTGCAGACCCATCAAGGATTATTGTGTATTAGATTCTTTTCTAGAAAGGTAGCAGTGTTTCCTTTCTGAGTGCTGACACCTTCTGATATAATTTAGTCCCTTGTGTGATTATGTTCACATAGTAGATAGTCAGTGAGCAGCAAGTTATGCCAAGTATCCTGTTATTTTATATTTGTGTATGTGGTAGAGTTGCATTACAAGCACACCAAATCTAGAAAAGTTCAGTTACATACTCAAATTTTTTAATAAGAAAAAACAGTATGAATAGAATCACCAAATGTTCAATTTAGTAAGGTCACAGCAGGCATGAGACGGAAGACATGATTCTGCTGTTACCTTGGTTAGTCTCAGTTCTTACAAGCTTCTTACAGTGTGAGCCTCTCACCAGGCCACGGATGATTCTACTATTCCTACAACGTGACCCATAAATATGTCAGCTGCTTTATATTTTGCTTAATGGAAAAACAAAATAAATGTCTATTTCCAACATTATAAAAAACTATATATGTGTCACTGATAGAATGTATTTATTAACTCTGCAATGGAAAATCTTTCTAAGACTTCTGACTATGGGGCCGGCCCGGTGGCGCGACTCAGTAGAGTGTGGCGCTTGGGAGTGCAGCGGCGCTCCTGCCGAAGGTTCGGATCCCATATAGAGACCGGTCCGCTCGCTCACTGGTTGAGCGCGGTGCGGGCGCGACACCGAGGGTTGCGATCCCGTTGCCGGTCACGAAAAAAGACAAAAAGGAAAAAAAAAAAGACTTCTGACTATGAATGTTGGTCACTGTATACATTAGTTATAAGCTGTTATACCCACACAAAGGCAACTTCTTTGTATACTTACATAAAGTGCTTAAAGTTTGAAAGTTTGTGTATTTTATTTGTTCTCACAGTTATGATGAAATGAACCTTTAACAGAAAGGGGACATTTTTTGTTTTTAAAAGATGACCGGTAAGGGGATCTTAACCCTTGACTTGGTGTTGTCAGCACCACACTCACCCAGTGAGCGAACCGGCCATCCCTATATGGGATCCGAACCCGTGGCCTTGGTGTTATCAGCACCACACTCTCCCGAGTGAGCCACGGCTGGCCTAGAAAGGGGACATTTTGTACCTTAATCTGTATACCTCTTTTTAAAGTTTATAGATTACTGCTGTGTTCATTATGTCCTATTCTCCCAATAAACTTGTGAGATTGCTATTTAAAAAATGGGCTACTCAGGGTTCACATCACTCAGCTACGCTGTGGCTTAACTGTGGCCTAGATCTCTCTAGCAGTACTCTGAACTGAGATGCCTGTCTCTTGAGTGCTGCCCGGGAAGATGTGTTCACCTGGGCACAGACTAACAGGTTTTCTTCATACTACTTTCCCAGTGCCTGGGACATCAATATAGAATAAACTGGGTTTTTTTGTTTGTTATTATTAATGAATTAATATATTTTGAATCTGAGTAGTTAGAAAATATATGAAAAGCAATTTGAGATAATAACACCTATATAGTAAAAGTTATTTTGAATATTAATTGTTAAGCCATGTAAGTTTTTATGTTTTTAAGTTGTACTAGCAGATTAGTAATGTTATAGGATTAGAATTTATTAATATAGTGGGATTAGAATTAATGAATCCTTTTTATGATTTTTGAAATGAATCATTTTTTGTATTTAATACAGAAATAATGTAATTAAAAACCATAGATATTAATACTTTCATGGTCTCTTATGCAGGCACTGAGCTTACCTTCAACTACAACTTAGAATGTCTTGGGAACGGAAAGACTGTTTGCAAATGTGGAGCCCCGAACTGCAGTGGCTTCTTGGGTGTAAGGCCAAAGGTACCACCCTTCCAGACTTTTGCATTGGGAATAATGGTGTGGTCCTTCTTTCCTAACAGTTAGGGCTGAGTCTTAGAAGATACCTCTTTGAAATAATGACAGTGAACAGTTGTCATTATAATTGCAATAATTATTGTAATATATAATAATAAGGCCCCTAGCAGTTTACTAAGTATTGGGATGATCAATTTGGTTACACAAGAGAGGATCTGTGGGTATTGAAGTGTTTTGAGTGATCTGACTTTAATTGGTGATACTTTTCTATCTAAAAAGCTGTAAAGTAGGTTTCTTCCACATCTTTGTCAGTCTCAGCTAATCTCCCTCATATCTCCTAAAGCTACTTAGATTCTTGGTATATCTGTGTCTCTTTGTATCTCTCTCTCTCTCCCTTTCTCTTTCTAAAATACCAAAGAATCTGCAGTTGAATTTATGATTCTAAATGTAGTATAACACTCTAGATAAAAGTAGGACTTTTATCTACCATTATAACAAAGTATAAACATTGTTGCGTCTTGTTTTTTTATGTGTACTTTACCTGAATTATAATTCTGTATCTGTTAAGAATTGTTTACAAGTCTGTATCCCATTTCTTTAAAATATTATAAAAATTTATTTTCGGGCCGGCCCGGTGGCGCACTGGATAGTGCGCCGCTTGGGAAGCGTGGCGGCGCTCCCGCCCAAGGGTTCGGATCCCACATACAGACCGGTTCCCGCTCACTGGCTGAGCGAGGCGCGGGAGCAATGCCGAGGGTTGCAATCCCGTTGCCGGTCCCCGGTCCGGTACGGGGGCAACACTGAGGGTTGCGATCCGTTGCCGGACACGGAAAAAAAAAAAAAAAAATTTTTTTTTGGGGTCGGGCTGGGGGGGGTGTGGGGTGGGGCGCCGCTTGGGAAGCGTGGCGGCGCTCCCGCCCAAGGGTTCGGATCCCACATACAGACCGGTTCCCGCTCACTGGCTGAGCGAGGCGCGGGAGCAATGCCGAGGGTTGCAATCCCGTTGCCGGTCCCCGGTCCGGTACGGGGGCAACACTGAGGGTTGCGATCCGTTGCCGGACACGGAAAAAAAAAAAAAAAAAAAAAAAAAAAAAAAAAAAAAAATTTATTTTCGCTCTTACATAGTCTTCTTAACCATTACTTTTAGTGACTGTTTAATTTTTTATATAATGGATGGACATAATAGATGAACATCTGGATGTTTCAGGATTTTTTTATCATAAGTAACAACACATTGAAAATTGAAGTTTAATTTTGATGAAAAGTAGACTACACAGTGACTCCAATTGGATGTTTCCCATTGTGCTTTTTTGATTATGAAGCTCAACATTAAGAACTGAAAATACAAATTAGCATAGAAACCAATAAGAAAAGATTAAATGTAATAACATATGAAAATGAAGAACATCCACCAGTTATTCTTTTATCTTGTTAAATAAGAAAAATCACCTCCATATTATATTGGGTTTTGTTTTTTTGGTTAAATATTCTTTTTCCCTAAGATGTCAGTTGACTTGTTTCCTATAAATTAAAACAGTAATGTGTTTAACTCATACTTAACAGTGTTAGCTGCACTAGGGATTTCAGTTTTTACATCCTTGAGGTCTGTGTAGGACAGCAAAAATTTAGAAATGGGAGATCACTCTGGGCTGTTAGTAAACACTGGCTTGTCAGAATAGGAGGGGCCTTAATTAAGTTGTATAGATTGGTCCTGGATGTTTTTAGGCTAAGGTGAATAATGTGATGAAAGCCATGGTGTTTGGTGACAAGTGTGGCCTGCCAGGAACACAGACAGAGGAGACCTGCGGCTCAACCAGGTCTGTCCGGGGAGTGATGGACATTATCTTAATTTGACTTAAAGATGCATAGTCTTGCTGAAGGCAAGGGCCATCAATTAACTTTCTGTGTCTTCCTAACTTGTGGCTTATGAAGGTTTGTTGAATAAATTAAGAAATTTGCCTGTACACATACACATATGCAGAGTTGTCTTTAGCTTTGAAATTAGGCAGACATAAAAATAGATCTTATGTCAACAAAAAGAAACATATTTCTCTTTCATTTCATTCAGGTGACTAGGTAATTGATACAAAAGTGGTAATCAGCACTACCGTTTATTGGGTATCTGTGATATGCCAGGTGCCTTTCCTACATTTTTTCATATCTTCACAATCCAGAGAGACAGTCTCTTCCCAGAGGAGAGACTAAGGCTCAGAAAGGATAGTTAACTTGGTCAACTAATGTGTTGACAGAATGCTGACTACCCAATATCTCACCTCTAGAATCAACCCATTGCCACAGAAGAAAAGTCAAAGAAATTTAAGAAGAAGCAACAGGGGAAGCGTAGGACCCAAGGTGAAATCACAAAGGAGCGAGAGGATGAATGTTTCAGCTGTGGGGATGCTGGCCAGCTCGTCTCCTGCAAGAAGCCAGGCTGCCCAAAGGTTTACCATGCAGACTGTCTCAATCTGACCAAACGACCAGCAGGTTGGTGCCAAAGTTAATTGAGTGTTCTCTGCCAGAATTCTCAGGGTCTCATGCCATTTGCTTCAGTCTGGAAGAAAGTCCCATTTGGTCTTCTTATGCATAGGTGTGGTCAGTGTTCTCATTCTGGAAATGAATGACCACAAAGGCTTAGAATCCTTAGTTATAGAGAAGGGACTAGTAATTCACCTGCTGTTTGTCAAGTACTTTACTTACATCATTTTACCTTCCCAGCAACCCATACAGGTCAGTTTTCTTCCCATAATGCATATGGGAAAACTGAGAGTCAAGATTGGTGAGATGGCTTGTTGAAAACAGATGGAGGAGCTTTATTGAAAGCCAGGTTTTCTGACTCTGAAGCCAGTAAATCGTGTTGCCTTTCCAGAGTAAGAAAGATTGAGACAGATATGAGCCTTTGGGTTATTCTAGTCAGTAAGAGATAGGGACTGACACCCTTTTAACCACCCTCTGTACCTCCCTGCTTACCACTAGGGTGATCTCCTCCCTTGCAAAGTAGACTTTTTTCTCTGAAGGAGATTCAGTTGTATCAGTTAACACATGAGAAAGCTGCCTAGGCGGATGTAGCACCCAGGAATTTGTGGTTGGAGAGAAGTTGGTGACATTTGGGTGGTGGTTTGGGACTAGAGGATTTTAGGGATTACGATGTGCCATCTATTGTAAAGGACAAAAGAAAACGAGTAGGGAACCTTTCCCGGATGAAGAGATCATACATCACTAGTGGCCTACTTCCAAGAACTGTAGGAAATGGAGAACTTTGGGATGGAAGTGACAGGAGTTTGTTTCTGAATTGGCTTTCCTTCAATGTGTATTTGCTAATGAAATAATAGAAACTCAGGTAGTATGAGGGCAAGGCCATAGCATCAACCTATTAGTGCCAGGAAGTGGAATTGTTTCAGAATCAATTACTCAAGGCCATCACTGGCACTGGCTGTGATAGAACTGATCTTGCCTCTGTACCAAAAATGTATTTAGGGATAGAAACACTATCCATGGTTGAGACTCTCAGGTTACATGAAATAGGGGGAAGTAGATACAACCTCAGGTTAGCTTTGGTTTTTTTCCACTGATTCTGTGTGGGCAACACAGGTAAAGTTTTGTCCAGGTTTCAAGACTTAAAATTGAGCATAGGTAAATCTGCTTCCATTTTTTGTGGTTGTATATCTCTTTCCTATTCCTGTTAATAACCAAATAAGCAGGAGTGTGATAGCTGGGATATTCCTCTTTGAGTTGAATATTTAAAAGTAATTTAGAACAAATGTAGTTTACAAAAATATGAAGATAATATCTAAACATTTCTTCTAAGAGGAGCTTTGGGTCGGTTGTTTTTTTTTTTTTTTTTCCATGTTGGAAATAGTCATAAAAATATGTATTTACTTTCCTGCTTGTATATTTAGGTGATACTTAGTTGCTATTTTATACTTTGCTGTTACTTAGTGCATTGTTTTTTGCAGTAGAGAAACCTGACCTTCTGGGGAAAGAGTGGTATTAAGTTGGTGGCATAAAGTCTCTGAAGAAGGTGGCAGTTTGAAGAAGGCTTTGCAATCACTCCTGTGGACCAGTCTCAGAGCCATGGCGCATCTCACATATATCTCTTTTTACCTAAGTATTTGTTTCACACCTGTGTTTTCAGGGAAATGGGAGTGTCCTTGGCATCAGTGTGACATCTGTGGGAAAGAAGCAGCCTCCTTCTGTGAGATGTGCCCCAGCTCCTTTTGCAAGCAACATCGGGAAGGGATGCTCTTCATTTCCAAACTGGATGGGCGTCTGTCTTGTACTGAGCATGACCCCTGTGGGCCCAACCCTCTGGAACCTGGGGAGATCCGTGAGTATGTGCCTCCCCCAGTATCGCTGCCTCCAGGCCCAAGCACTCACCCGGCAGAGCAATCATCAGGAATGGCTGCTCAGGGGCCCAAGATGTCAGATAAGCCACCTGCTGACACCAACCAGACGCTGTCGCTATCCAAAAAAGCTCTGGCAGGTACTTGTCAGAGACCACTGCTACCTGAAAGATCTTTTGAGAGAATTGATTCCAGACCTCAGCCTTTAGATAGGGTCAGAGACCTTGCTGGGTCAGGGACCAAAGCCCAATCCTTGATATCCAGCCAGAGGCCACTGGACAGGCCACCTGCAGTGGCAGGACCAAGACCCCAGCTATCTGACAAACCCTCTCCAGTGACTGGCCCAAGCTCTTCACCCTCAGTCAGGTCCCAGCCACTGGAGAGACCTCTGGGGATGGCTGATCCAAGGCTGGATAAATCCATAGGTGCTGCCAGCTCAAGGCCCCAGTCACTGGAGAAAACCCCAGTCCCCACTGGTCTGAGACTTCCACCACCAGACAGACTGCTAATCACCAGCAGTCCCAAACCTCAGACTTCAGACAGAACCCCAGACAAATCCCATGCTTCTTTGTCCCAGAGACTCCCGCCTCCTGAGAAAGTACTATCAGCTGTGGTCCAGACCTTGGTAGCTAAAGAAAAAGCACTGAGGCCTGTGGACCAGAATACTCAATCAAAAAATAGAGCTGCTTTGGTGATGGATCTCATAGACCTAACTCCTCGCCAGAAGGAGCGGGCAGCTTCTCCTCATGAGGTCACATCACAGGCTGATGAGAAGATGCCAGTGTTGGAGTCGAGTTCATGGCCTGCCAGCAAAGGTCTGGGGCATATGCCGCGAGCTATTGAGAAAGGCAGCATGTCAGATCCTCTTCTCCAGCCTCCTGGGAAAACAGTAGCCCCAGCAGAGCACCCCTGGCAAGCTGTTAAATCACTCACCCAGGCCAGACTTCTTTCTCCACCTCCTGCCAAGGCTTTTTTATATGAGCCAGCAACTCCAGCCTCAGGAAGAGCTCCTGCAGGGGTTGAGCAGACCCCAGGACCTCCCAGCCAAGCCCCGGGCCTGTTGAAGCAGGTGAAGCAAATGGCCGGAGGCCAACAACTACCTGGGCTTGCTGCCAAGAATGGGCAGTCCTTCAGGTCTCTTGGGAAGGCCCCATCCTCCCTCTCCACTGAAGATAAGAAGTTTGCAACAACAGAACAGAATCCCTGGGCCCTGGGCAAAGCCTCGCCCGGGGCAGGGCTCTGGCCCATGGTGGCTGGACAGACACTGGCACAGTCTTGCTGGTCCACTGGGAGCACACAGACATTGGCACAGACTTGCTGGTCTCTTGGGAGAGGGCAAGACCCCAAACCAGAGCAAAATACACTTCCAGCTCTTAACCAGGCTCCTTCCAGTCACAAGTGTGCAGAATCAGAACAGAAATAGTACCAGTAAATTTCACATGAAGAGACAAGCTGCCCCCAGGGTACCATTTGGGGAGGGGAAATCTTTTCTTTCTTTTTTCCCCTTAAAAAACAGACCTACCCCAACAGTGTATAACTTTTCCACTGTTATACTTTCCGTATACCCCAACAATCAGAACTCTTGTGACGTTAGCTAGTGGGGGCTTGTGGTTGTGTGAACCATGTATGGAAACCCAAGTGGGCCCCAGCCAAGGAGACAGACAGACCTGGGTCTCTTTCCTGCAACTTTTACACATGGTCAATGTGAAATAAAAAGTCCACTCTGGAATCAAGCATGGAATTCAATTCCGCTGGTCAGGTTGGAAGGTATAGGGGCTCTCAAAGCTATTTCCCCAGCCCAACAGAGGTCTGTCAAGGGCACCCGATGAACTCTTGGGAGGAACTGATGTTCACTCAAATCAGTGGCAATTTCCTGAGCATTCACGTGAGCAAGGTTGGTGCTAGTCACTGACAGGAGATAAAGAAATAAGGCCTGATCCCTGTGAGCCTAGCATGCCTGTCTAGGTTCCCAGGCTGTTTTCAAGAACCTTTGACCAGGAAGTTCTAAGGGGCCCTGGGGCTCCATACTCAGTTTGAAATGTCCTTTGTGGCCCCAGAAACTGTGTTGAGTAAGTGTTTCCTACTTGGGGTGTGCGTGAGTATGTGTGCATGCATGCACACTCATGCCCAAATCTCTCTAGATGGAAGGGTGCTGCTTGAGGCCAAGTGGGCCTGTTGGCTGGGGCAGCCATTGTTGCTACTTCTGTCTGGGCCGTGCAGAGTCTGAAGATTTGTCCTTGGAGGAGCAGCTCATTGGGGGGTGCTGGACTCTATGAGAATGTACTGGTGGAAGAAGGCAATTGGCAAGCTTACCTTTCTTTTCTACCGATTTTTCTCCTTTTACATGAACCTAACCCATCCCCATTCCCCCAAACACTCAGGTGCTTTCAGATTTCAGTGTCTCGGGCAGTGGACATAGGGAGTCTCTGGCAAGCTCTGAGCTAGACATACCAGCTTCAGGAGTGCCAGATCCTCGTGGAAAATTACTTTTCCCTTGATCCTTTGCCCTCCTAACTGGACGGAGGGAGTCCTCTTCTGCACCTCCCTGAGAATTGCTGTGCTCTCTATTGAGAGCACCTGCCTGCTGACTTAGCTCAAAGGCAAGCCAGAACCCTTCCCCTAAGACTGGTGAGATGTGGTGTTTAGAGCAATGTCCAGTCTAAAAGATGACTCCACATAACTGCTGATTATTTGTTACTGCTGCCCTGAGCTGGGGCCTTAGGGCTGGGAAATCTGTTGGTGCTATCCTGCCCTTCCATTCACCCAGCTCACTGACTGCCAACAGGAAGTGCTGTTTGGCTAGTTCCTTCCCACTCACCCACCCCTCCTTTGTCCCTAGACCAAACATGTTTACCTCTCTGCTTTGCCAACTTAGCTAGCAGCTTTAGCCAACAGGCCATCTCCTGGCCATTCTGTCTCAGTTATGGCTTTTACACCCTCAACAGGATTCTGTATTTCGTCCCAGTTTCCTCCTCCTAAGTTCTATTGAAGTTACTCCCATCACTTCCAAGGAGGGAACAGTAGTTGTTATAAAAGCATTTGCGCTTTATATAAAGATTAAAAATAGAATCTGCTTTTATTTCCCAAAGTCTGTCTCTGAGGTTGAGACTCTTGAACTCAGGCAGAGGGACGAGGCTGGGTAGGGCTGTCCCGAATTTCGGGGCTTATCCCTGCATTTCACTGAGACCTCGGAATCTCCTCTGTGAATTCCACCTGCCTAGTTCTCCCCTTTCATCCTCTCTCTCTTCCCACATCATCAGAGAGGAAAAGCTCTTTGTTCAAAAGGAAGAGAAAACGTAAAGCATCTTATTTTCTTTTAGAAGAATTTTAAACCACAAAAAAGATATTTTTAAAGAAATTCACCCAGAACATTAAAAGTTCATTATATTAAGTATTTATCATGTGTGAGAATAATAAGTATATAACTGCAGCTAGTAGGTCCCTTTCCCTAATCTCTTAGGTTGTATGAGTAGGGTTTGCTTGGTGCCAGTCCTGTGCCCTTTCCTCTCCTGTCATCTGTAGTTGTGATCAGAAAAAAGGTATCCACACTGCACTGTCAGAATCTCCTTTCACTGTGTTGTGTGTTAAATTACCGTAGCTCTTTGTTTCATGAAATAAACTGTGAATTTTGGGGGGTGGGGGGCGGGGCGGGGGCTTGCAGGCTATGTAAAAATTTTAAGTGGAGAAGTTTGATCCTGGTGTAGCTTCTCTGATGTAGGCTTTGGTAGGTAATTGACTTGACAGCCTTCTAGATATGTCTCACAGGACAGGCAGGAGTGAGGGAAAGAGGACCATGATTGGCCGCTTTGTGGTTTTGTTTTGGTTCTTTCCATTCTCCACCATTCACTGGAGGCTTAGTTCCAGACCTGCCTGGGGAAAAAACTTCTGAGCCGTACTTGGTTTGGAGGGGGCCGGTTCTTTACCTGAATGGATGGGCAGCCAGGCTTCCATCCAGGGCCATTTAAAGACTCTCAGTTTGTTGAATGGAAACTAGAAATTTGAGCTATTGGGCATCTATAGCAGTATCTGATACTAGATTGTTAAAATCATGACAGTAGTAACTGCTCAGTTAGAAGCAAAGGCAGAACAACTGTTGGAAAATGAGATTTGTATGAAGGTGGGGCGGGAGTGACCTTGCCAGCCCTTCACACTTCTGAAGCCTATAATGAGACACTTTCTCCAAGCGGGTGTGAATCGCAGTTAAAAGGAAATCTTTTATCTTAGAAACTTCTGGTCATTGTGCAGGATGGTATTTTGGTATTTGTTGTTTGGCTAAGTGCTTGGGAATTGGGATCTCAACAGAATCTGCCCCCTAGCCAGCTCCCCAGGAAGCATTTTCCAAGGGCAAGCCAAAGGTTGAAATGTTCGATAGGTAGCTAGAAAGCCAATACGTCTCCTAGCCCTGTTAAGTCGGGGAAAAAAAAATTAGGGAAAATGTGGAAATTCAAAGACTTATTTGCTTCTCTGCTGGAGCCAACCCATTCGAATAGCAAAATATTGCTACAAAAGCATCCATTTTTAAAAGTCTGCTTTCCCCTAAAGTTACTGAGTTTGAGATTAATTAAATCACTGTGTTGATCTTCTTAACCAAATCCACATCTTTAGCATTGATGAAAATAACTTTTATTCTTCACAATCTCTATCCCACACTACAGTCAGGGCATGAAATGAACTAATGATCCTTAAATTGGGCTCTGCATTGTCTACTCAGTGGAGCTGAACTCCCAGGTTGTAGTTGTCATGTTGCCTCATGAGAATAGAATGTCTGGAAGGAAGTCTGGTCCTGGCAGCTTCCCCTGTGGAGAGTAATCAGGAGAGCACTAACCTTGGATGGGTTTTACCCTTAGCCTCCTATAAAGCAGGTTTTCTCCTAAGGCTTTTTTTGGATATTGTCATCTTCCTGGGGTTTGTCAGACAAGAGGTCTGAGGGGCCCAGCGTCCTAACCTCTCTGAGATCATGGCAGAAAAGGAGCCGCCTCATGCCCCTCTTCCTGCTGAGTAACGTTTGAGCTGTTCCATGTGTTAGACATTCCAGAACATGTAGAGCCAGGTAGCTGCTGCATGAGACTTTCATTGGCTGTGGCCAATTAGTTCTCAGCTGAGCTTCCTAGGGCCATTGCAGCAGGGCCAGAGGTTGCTGTAGTATAAATTGAAGTAAGAATAGATAATTGCTTTGTACACACAAAAAATGTAATGATGGTGCTAATTTCATGGTATAAATAAGCACTGCCAAGGACTGAGGGATTGGCAACTTGAGGAAACCCTGTTCCTGTTTGGGAAGAAGAGATTTTATGTAGAAAGGTTTTTTTTTTTTTTTTTTTTTGAGGCTCTATAGAGGTGGGGAGAAGGCAGAGCCTCAGTGAAGCCTGCACCCAATCCTGGAGTGGTCTAGAGCAATCCAGAGGTGAAAAGAGATCCCATATCCAGAGGAAGGTGGCCATTGAGTTTCTCAGGGCTGGGGTCACCTTGTCCATAGCCTCCGTCCACACTGCCTGGAACAGGTTGGTAGATAGCTCTGGGTGTGGGGTCTCCATCGGTTACCTTCTGCCCCTCTCTACCTCTTCGACTCTCATGGGAGCACCTCTATTGCTTATGAAGATTAAGGGTAATATTTCTTAAGGAAGTGGAAAGAGTTTATTTTAATTAGAAATCCACAACCTCGAAAGAAATGTTTCCTACCAACATAAGCAAAAACAGCACATGTTAAACTCTTATGTGGTCCCTTCTCTAGAGCCGCTTTCCCATGACTTTCAAAACATCAGGCTATTGAGGGGCTTCAGGTGTAACACCCTGGAAGTTAAGCAAAGCTTTGTGAACAAGAAATGAGCACAGGGAATGCAATCAGGAACAAATGGTTCTGGTGCTTTAGACTTCCGGGGTCAGGGCAGAGCAGGCGGTCTCCAGGTCTGAGGTGGGTGCTGCCTGTGTGTGCATGTAGGTGAGAATGTGTTGAAGGTGGGTAAGTGCAGCACACAGGAGCTCATGGAGGAGCAGCTTTCTAGGTCTTGGCAAAGAAACAAGCTGACAATAGAGATCTATCTTTATATTAAGAAAGGGGCGAGGTGGGGTCAGCAAAGGTCCATCAATATTTTTTTGCCTCTCACCCCCAAAGATTGTCAGCTGTAAGTGAAACTCCTAGTGAAAAAGAGGGGAGCCCTGTGATAGGAGTCCCCATAAACATGTACTGTAATTCTTTGTATATAGAAAAAAATTACTGTAAAGTAAAGTTTAACTTTACTCTTATGGCCCTTGCCCTGTGTTTTGTTTTATTGTCCGTGGGGAGATGTAGCGTAACAGGAGGGAGGATTGGTTTGGGGTGAGAGAAGTCAGCCTGAGATAGTTCCCCAGGGCTGGGGAACGAGGGTGAAGGGGACACTGCAGAGCTGAGCCCTTCCTCTAAGCACTTTATGGGAGTGGTGTGGGTTTTCTCCTAGTAGCCACCAGCTGCCTAAGTGTCTTTCTCCCCTGTTGGGAGTGGCTGGCATCAATTTCAGTCCCCCTCCACAGGAAGCCTCCATCACTTATGAAGGAAGGGTATTTTGAGGAATTGGATTCATTCATTCATTCATTCAGCACCACACTCTCCCAAGTGAGCCACGGGCCGGCCCCAGGAATTGGTTTTTATAAAAGGAAGTGAAACCAAAGCACTTTTGAGTGTGAGTCTGACCATGTTGGTCACATTTTAAATTCTTCAGAGGCAAGCGTTGGGCACTGCAGAGGACTCAGCCCAAGCCTAAAGGCAGGAAAGCAGAGGCAAAGGATGAGCTGGAAGGTGGGGCCCCTGGCCTGGGGCCACACTTCTCATACCGGAAAAGACTGCAATATGTTTCCTTTTGGTTAAACAGGAAGCATTAGCCCCATTTACAGTAATACCTGATCCTTCAGAAATATTTGGACCTTCAAGGCCTAGTACTTTGGGGGAAACTTTGGAGTTGGCCTCCCCTTCTGACCTAGTCCTGAACTTCCTCTCTTCAGCAAAATGCCTGCAGAGGAAGAGTGTGGGAAAAGCATATAGTACTAGAATTACTTTTCACTTAGGATCTTCTCAATCCTGAGCTAGGTAGTAGTCACCTCATTTAATAGATGAGAAACTGAAACTTAGGGTTTAAATACCTTTTCTAAGTAGCTGAATTGAATCCAAATCTGGATCCAAAAGACCTTTCTGTCTTGCAGAACCTAAGATTTTTCTACCATTAAGCTACACTGAAGGATGTCACTGGGAAGCTCAGGAGAAGTCACAGGCCTGACTCGGGCCCAAGCATGACAGATAGGCAGCAGAACCAGCCAGATCAAGCTGTCTTGAGGTAGGAGTGCTTGACCCTTTTATCTCTGGGCAACTTAAGTGCTCTTTTTGGCACCCAGAAAGATTGTGAGCTTTGCACTGCCACAATCCCAGCATCTCACCCTGTCTTGTCCCCACTAAAGAATAGGAAAGACCCCTTTGTTTCTCTGTTACCTCAGCCGCAAAGCTGGGGGAAAGTTACTTGGTGTCCAAAAGAAAATAAAAGATGGGAGGAGCCTTAATATAGGAAGTAAGAGGCCAGCCAGATGGCCCCAGAAAGAACTAGGTGTCTTGACACCCGATTCACACAGCAGGGAAAGGGGCTGAGTGTGATTCACAGTGCATTGATTTTATTTACAGATCAGAAGCTACTTAAATAATCTGCAGACACAAGTGCTGTCCAGGGCAGAAGCCTGGGGTCCAAATCAGCCCTTAGCCCTCCTCATGCCCACAGTCAGCTCAATGCTGCCTCTGTTCCATGGGCCAGCACAGGCAGGTGTCACCTCTGCTGTCATGGGAACCTGGGGTAGCTCAGACATTTGACCTCCCAAGCCCAGACAAGAGCTGGGTCCAGCCCCTCTGGGGAATTCCTTTAATTCCCCCAGGCCAGGTGAGTAGTGACTCAGTGATGACAACAGCTGTAGAAGTAGGGGTTTGTCTTCTGGCCCAGATCCACGCCCTTGTCCTCTGTCAAAGAGAGAAGTGGCAGCTCAGAACCATTCTGCTGGGGGGATCAGATAACTCATGAAGGGGACTAGATGCTGTGGGCCGAGAGGAAGTCTCCATAAAGGCTGGGGAAGCACACACCTGTCATCACCTGGAAGGCAGCCACACTGATGTAATCCTCCGCCACTTTCTGGAAGAGCTCGTCTGGCAGGAAAAACAATGACCAGTGAGGGCCCAATGCCAGTAGCCCTGGGATCTCCCTGTGACCCAGCCCTTTGGGCTCTATTCTGCTTCCTCTGGTGCTCCTGCCTGTTCCTGTTGTGATGCCCCAGGACAGCACTCACCCACACTCTGGCCTGTCTTGCTGGATGTTTCAAAGAGCTGAGCTTTGATATCTGTAAAGAAAAGTGACTAAAGCCTCATACCTGAAAATCAGGTAGACATAGACAAAAGGGAAGACAGCAATTCAGGGAGTCTCCTGGACCCTACAGGTTAAAGGAGGCCAAAGAGCCCTCCTAGGGCACCTTGCCATGGCAGCCAAGGTGGTCCCTACTTCTTGTGACCCACCCAAGGAGCCACACACACCCCCCACCCCCAGGGGCTGAAAAGCAGCTACTGTCTGCATAGTCCTGGACGTCATGAAAGTCCACACGTCGACGACGTCGGTCCTCCTCCAGCAGGTCACTCTTGGTGCCACACAGGTATATTTGACAGCCCTGGGGCAGAAGTCAAGGCCAGGGTCACCTCCACAGACCAACAGAGCCCCAGCCCCTGGTCTTCTGGCAAGGTCTGGCCACCCACCTCCTCTAGGCTGCGCAGTTCCTTCACCCAGAACTTAGCTCGCTCAAAGCTGCTGCTGTCTGTGAGGTCTTGGTATGGGGCAAAAAGGAGACACAACCAACAGTCAGAGGTTCTCTTGAGGCCACTCACCCCTTTTTGCTTGAGGAACAGACCGGAACTCCCCTTACCATAGCAGACGATGGCAGCCTTGGCACCCCGATAGTAGATTCTGCTCATGGCCTCGTAGCGCTCAGAGCCTGCTGTGTCCTAAAGGGCAGGGTGAGGCTCAGCCCTGGCCTCAATTACTTGGCTACTCCTTAAGACTGCAAACTAAGCCCATGTCTTCCAGACCCCCATTTTCCAGAAGAGAAAACTAGAGTCTAGAGGAGAAATGGCTTCTATGAGGCGGCAAATCGGCCAGTAATAGGCAGGAGATAAGCCTCCTCAGGAATGGGTTTCCCCAAGACTAGATGACCAGGGGACTTACCCAAATACCCAAAGTCACTGTCCGGTCTCCGACGGACATCACCTTGGCCACGAATGCAGCCCCGATGGTCTGCAAGGAGGGGGAAGAGATCAGGGCTGCGGGTGCAGGCTAGCGCCTTCCCACACGTGTCTGGCTCCGCGGGGTACTCACATTCTGATAGGGCCCCACCAGGAAGCGGTCGTGCACATATCGCTCTACCAGGCTCGTCTTGCCCACATACTCTTTCCCCAGCATCACCACCTTGACGTCCACGCGCTGCCCGCTCATGCTCCCGGGGCCGCCTCACCCACGTCAGGGTCCTGATCAGGGACCGGAGGCAAACCCGGATCTCCACTCGGTCCACGCAGCAGCCAAGCCTCAGACCCCGACCCCAAGCGTCAACCTACTATTGGAGACACCGTAACACCGTGTCGGGCTCCAGCCGTGGCCTCGCACCTCGGCAGCGCCCCTGTCCCCGCTCTTTGGCCCCGGGAACCGATGATCCTTCGAAGAGACCAAGACCCGGGGCGGCCTGGGATCACGCGGGGCAGCGCCCTCAACGGCGCTGCACGCCGCCGTGCAGCTTGCTCCGTCGCTCGCCCTCCTGCTCGCTCGTTTGCCTGGCTTACGCTCCGCTCCGGCTCGGATCCCCAACCGAGCCTGGGGACCCCTCCAACCCTGCTCGGACCCCCAGCGCCGCAACTCCCGCGGGAGGGGAAGACAGCGCGAGGGGGCGGGTCCAAGAGGTCACGTGTACGGGCGCCGGAAGTGGCGGGTACTATGCGGCTGCGCCGGAAGTGGCGCGCCGCTGGACAAGTCCTCATGGCGGCGGCGGCGGCTTGGGCGCGGCGCGGTGGTGACTGAGCTGCGATCCTGGCGGGCGGGCGCCAAGCCCTGGCCCGGCTTCCGTGTGTCTACCGGGCTACGCACCCCTGATGCTGCGCGGGTGCTGAGCCCGCCCCGGCCAGGAAGATGGTCAAGTATTTCCTGGGCCAGAGCGTGCTCCGGAGTTCCTGGGACCAAGTGTTCGCTGCCTTCTGGCAGCGGTACCCGAATCCCTACAGGTGCGTGGCCCTGGGAAGAGCACCCCCCGCTCTCTATTTGGGGATTGAAGTGTGGGCACCCCTCGAGTAATGGGGCCAGGAAGGACTCGACATCGAGTCCGACGTAGGGAGTTGCCAGAATCGTGGTCGTCTTTAGGACACGAGGACCTTATCGGGGAAGCAGCCAGGCCAGGCCTGCAAGGCCCTGGAAGAAGGCTGAGACTGAGCGGTGATTTACTTGAGACCCTAGTCTAAAGTTTTCTCTCCTCAGGACGGTGAGATGGGAATAGGGGGCGGTACAGGAGTTGGGAGGGATCTTGTGGTTGGAAATTCGGGTACTTATTTCCTCCTCTGTCCGTGGCGCGCTCCAGTGGTGCAATAAATTATAAGGTCGAACCCTGCTGGAAGGCCCAGGAATCCAGGTCAGGGAGGAAGCAGAAGTTGGAATTTGCCCTGGGATAGGCTCAAGGGACTCTCAGTTCAGGTCTAAGCCATAGCACAGATCACTCTGCAAGATAGTGGCAAGGCATGGCTGCAAATGGGAACCCCAACAAGAGGTCTCAGGGATCGTCTCCTGAGGGTCACCTTCACTCTGACACCTTCAGCAAACATGTCTTGACGGAAGACATAGTACACCGGGAGGTGACCCCTGACCAGAAGCTCCTGTCCCGGCGACTCCTGACCAAGACCAACAGGATGCCCCGCTGGGCCGAGCGACTGTTTCCTGCCAATGTTGCTCACTCGGTGTACATCCTGGAGGACTCTATTGTGGACCCACAGAATCAGACCATGACCACCTTCACCTGGAACATCAACCACGCCCGGCTGATGGTGAGATCTCCCTTGGTCCCCCCCAAAATAGAGAGCTTCTCAGGTACACGTGGCTAGAGAGCCATGAGGGAGCTTGTGTGGTCTGAGTTACTGAGGAGCAACGGCTGTATAGTACAACCTCAGATTATCTTCCTTTTAGCTGGTCAGCTTCTCTGCACCATTCATACAACAGGGGAGGACTACCTATTTTACAGAGTTGTTGCAGTTACCAAACACACAGCACTCACATCATGTATGGCACACATACACTGTAGGTTGGGCCCACAGGAGTGATGCTGAGGGAGGGAGGCAGTGGTTTTCAAAAAGGCATCCATCAAGCTGTCAGGTGCTTCGGATGTGCCTTGGGGAGGGGCTCTGGGCCCCTTGCCCCACTTTGACTAGAAGAGTTCCACCATTATTTGTCTTAACTAATGAATTTGTGCCTGAGATTTTGGGAAAAGGGTTTCCTTATACTTTGATCTCTTGCCCTTAAAAAAGCTTGAAAATCCATGGCCTAAGGAGCATTCTACCGTATCTTTTTACATGTGAACACCCTGAAAGCTTTCAGATAATTATTTCTACACTTATCTTCACGATAACCTTGAGAGGTGGGTATTACTCTGCTGTGCAAAAAGGGAAGTGAGGTTCAGAGAGGGGAAGTGTCCTACAAGGTCAGAGTGAGTAGGCACCTTACTCTGCCCCAGAGCCATCTGAAGTCATCTCAGATGACTACATGAGGGCACTACTTCTGTGTTTGGTAAGTTACCAAGATAGTAATCCAGCTAGCTGTGAGAGTGTTTTAACTGTTTCTCCTGGAGCTAGTGGTCCACTGTCTCCTCTCTGATAATGACAGCTGTGATGATTGTCAGATATCTGTTTTTATATGTCAGGAAGCTTAAGACCTGCAGTGGGTAGAAGGCTGAAACACTGTCATGTCTAGACACAAAGATACAAAACAAAATCCAGAGCTAGGATGGGGCAGGAAGGCCCTCTGCTGATCTCAAAAAACCACAAGCCTTCTAATTTTAAGGGTCAGAAGAGAAGTTTTAGTGAGGAAACTGACGTTTTTTATGGCCTTCTTGCTTGCTCTCTGTCTGTAAATGCCACTGGTCTGATAAGGGGGAGAAATGGGTTTTCATTTTATTGCTTCTCCTCGTGAGAAGAGGCAGGGGATAAAGTTTACATGCAAGCTGGCAAAATGAAAGACTACCCCGCAATTGTGCTTGGCCTGACTCCCTGCACAGGTGGTGGAGGAACGATGTGTTTACTGTGTGAACTCTGACAACAGTGGCTGGACCGAAATCCACAGGGAAGCCTGGGTCTCCTCTAGCTTATTTGGTGTCTCCAGAGCTGTCCAGGTGAGCAGTGTTATGGGGGCTCTGGGACCCTGGGGATCAGAGCTTTTGGCTTTGAGGCTGGGTTGGGAGTCAGTGTGCAGCTCAGAATCCTCCCCCTTCTCATCTTTTGCCAGGAATTTGGTCTTGCCCGGTTCAAAAGCAATGTGACCAAGACTATGAAGGGTTTTGAATACATCTTAGCCAAGCTGCAAGGTGAGAGCTCTGGGCACTGCTTGGGGGAATCTCATAGGGAGAGGCTGGAGTCAAGAGTCTGGGACTCCTAGTCTGTACTGGAAGCAAATACTACCTTTCCAATGGGGCCTGACCAAGAGGAGCTGAATGTCATGGTGGGAGTGGCTTATCTTCACAGGGGGAAGGGGTGTGTGTGATTAAGTGGGTCTTCTAGGCATCATCTGAAGCCAATCCCCTGCCCTTTGCTACAGGTGAGGCCCCTTCTAAAACACTTGTTGAGACAGCCAAGGAAGCCAAGGAGAAGGCAAAGGAGACTGCACTGGCAGCTACAGAGAAGGCCAAGGACCTAGCCAACAAGGCAGCCACCAAGAAGCAGCAACAGCAGCAGCAATTTGTATAGCCAGTCCAGGTCTGGGTGTAGTCTGGGCCCTCCACACCACAGCACACCAGACAGCTCGGCTCAACTCCCTCTGCCCTCTCCCCATTGTACTTTACTATTAAAAGTAAATTTCCAGCCCTATCTACTGTCTGGGTGGTGGGTTGGGGGTGGGTGTCCTGTTTGGCATCTGCAGTATACCAGGCATGTCATCCAGGTCTGAGCTGGGCCTGCTTGTTCCCCCATTGGGCAGCTGAGGACAGAGGCACAGAGAGGTGTGGTGATTTGCCCAGGGTCACAGACAGTATGCAGGTGAGGTGGTAATAAACGATAGACTGTAAGCTCCACGAGGGCAGGGCTCTTTGTTTTCTGATGTGTCCCAAGTACCTGGAACAATATCTAGCACATAATAGGCACTCAATAAATATTGGTTGAATTCAATCAGCCCTAGCTCTGAAGTCAGAAAACTTTGCTTTGAATCTTGATTCCACTGTTTCCTGGCTTTGGGCCTCAGGCAAGTCACATTACTGAGCCTCAGCTCCAATATCTGCAAAGTGGAGACAGAACCACCTCCAAGTCAGGAGGATTAAATGTGCACTGCCTGGCATGGTCAACAGTGTTAGTGGTGGCTATTGATCTTATTTCCTCTTTTCCAGTTTTTCTGTGGCTGGGAGTTCCCCTCTTTTCATCAGGCAAGACCATGGACAGGGGAAGTTATGAAAGAGGCTTTTAATGAAAATACTATACAGTATATGCGGGGCAAAGGCCAGGGGGCCTTGTCCAGGAAGGAACATGAAGCTCTGAGAGGTTTCCTGCCCCCACAGGGGCAGCAGAGCCAAGTGCTACAAAAAATGTAGGAAAGGGCGGCCCAGGCCCAATCTACCTGCACTGCAGGGCTGGTAAGGCCCCAGGCGCCACGTCCCCCCAGGAGGGACCACCTGGCAGCTAGCACTTGTTCCCATGTAAAGGTCCTTTTAGTCCACTCCAACAGATGATGCTGAGCAGCCCTTGAGGCTTGAGGGGAGCTCCTGCTGGCACTGTCAGCCCAGCGGTGTGAGGGTGATCAGGGCAGAGGCCTGCTCAGCTGGCAGGCATCATAGCCAGGCGCTGCCGCTGTGCGAGTAGCTGTGCTCCTGGCTGGCGCTGAAGCCCCGCAGCAGCTCAGCCTCGCCCCCGAACACCAGGCTCTCCACATCCACCTCTAGCTCCTCTGCACAGGGAGGGGTCCAATCAGAAGACCTGGTCCACCCGGACAGCCACATGCCCCCTCAGCTTCAGGGCACTCACCTTGGTCTGAGTCGGAGCGCTCAGAGGAAAGGCCTGAAGAATCCAGGCTGTCCGCCCGCAGCCGCTCCCGCTCGCCCACCCCTGCCGGCCCCCGGAGCTGCTCCAGCTGCCGCCGCAGGCTCTGCTGCTGACTATGCAGCTTTTCCTTGAGCTGCCGGGCCCGCTGCTCCTGCTCCTCCAGCTTCTGCAGGTTCCATAGGAGCAAAGGGCTGGGGTCAGCTGCTGGGGGGCTTGGGTCTCTCACCCCAACACTGCTCAGCAGCAGGCCATGGCCACACGGGGCTTCAACCCACTCCAGAAAGGTGGCTCACTTAAATCTGGACCCGAGAGTTGCTCCCACACCCTCTGAGAAGCCAGCCCCCTCCTGCCCTTCTGTACCACATAAATGGCCTATGAGAGTTCTGTCTAGTTGGGGGGGGGGGGGGCACCACAATCTCAAAGGTCTTTGGGGCCTGATCAAGTGATGTAAAGGGGTGGGGTATTCTGGTGTCAAGCAATAGGAAGTGGGGGGGATGCAGCACACTGGTGAGTGCATACTCCTGCTTAATGAAGCAGCCACAGCTATGTTCCAGCCAGTTGGTGCCACATGGAAATAGGCCCAATGCTGCCAGATCTTTCCATTTCTTTAAGAGAAGGTGGAAAATCAGTTTTCATGTCAATGTTCTTTGAAGTGCTGCTGACTAAATTTTTAGAAAACTACAGACCAAACAAAGGCTTCCAATTTGTCACATCTGCTCAAGATCCTCCCAGGAGCCCTAAGACTTCAGCATTAATACCTTCATCTGCCCCAACTCCCACCTGAGCTCTGCCAGCCCTGAAGTTCCAGGAACTGGAAGGCCAAGGGCCCTCCCATGCAGAGCCCGTAGTGGGCAGAGCCTGAATTCAGTCATTCAACAAGAAGGGGAGAACTGGGGTGAGGGGGCATTTGGACTGGGTGTAAAAGAATAAGAGCTGCATAGGCAAAGATGGGGGAGGAGGAAGCATCAAGGCAGAGGGAGACTAGGAAGAGCATGGAGAGTTCAGCTTTTTCTATGGGGAATGTGGAGAGACAAGACCAAAAAAGCAGTCCAGCATCAAGGCCTGGCCTATGAGGGGCCTTGAGTTCTACAGGAAGTAAGGAATTGCAGCTCTGTCCTGTCAGGAGTGAGCCACTTGCTGGGGGGGGGGGGGGGGG